CGGGATGCATCCGAACCGTAAGTCGGTGATGATGTCTTCTCATCCTTTGGCGTGCCTGCAGTTACGCGTACTTCTGTCATCAGTTGCTTCTGCTCGAAGTTGATATTGAGGCGAGTGCTTGGATTAAAGCTGAGTCTTCGTAAGATATGAGATGTGAAATGAAGCAAACCCACAAATCGTCCGTCTTATATATGCAGTTTTATCTCGTTCATTTGATAAGGGTGCGAAGCCAAACAATCAACGGCAGTATAACTTTGGAAATCATGGTTGACGGTGATGTTAACCATCCCTCACTCATGAAACTGATCACCTTAGGAGGTAATGTTCAAATCAAAGAGTAATATGGAGTCAAACAGCTCTGCAATATGCACTGGTCAACTTAACTGAGCGCTCCGGAAAAAGCAAGTTGTAAACGTTTTTTAAGAACTCTTTCTTACGCAGTTTTTTGTTCAACAAATTTCCACTCTGAGAAAATGATTATGACGCCAGGATAAACAAAAATGCTACGCCCTCTTGAGTTTTTGTTCCTATTATTTCCTTTCACTTTGACAATGTTTAGATCCGATGATGAGCTTGACTATGAAGATGGCCTTTGCGACAATTGTGGTGAGGAATGTCGAACACTGCAGCCGATTGATGAAGTGAAGCTTTGTTATGTTTGCCGAATGTACTATAAGTAAGGTTTCGAAGTACATTCTAACAAAACACACGAAACCTACTATGTTTGCAGACTGATGCGTAAGCATCGCCCCTGCAACTATACAGCTGCTATAAATGAATTTCGTCAACGAAAAACTCGCAAATGCCCCGAAGGTTGGTGTAGTACAGTCTGTTCTATTCACCAAAAATTATTGGAGATTGTTCTTTAGACATGCAAGATATTGCTCATGATTTTGTTGAGATGGCTAAGTTCGTAGATGAGAATGAGTGTGAAAACGAAGGCGTCCAAGTGGTTCAGAGTCCCAAAACAAAATGCAACGAAGAAACAAAGTAAACTTTGAAAATTTCAGTAAATCTCAGATGAAAACTCATGTGGTTTACTTCAGATCTGTAATGAGAGAACTAACGAGAGTTCGCTCAAGAGCTATCCGCCTTGA